TAGGAAAACGACATTTTTAGTAGAGAATATTTGTTATTGAGACAAGAGAAACAATCGAAATTTATTTTGTGTGAAAATCAAGTTGAAATTCTTGTTAAAACTTCAACATTAAATTCCTCTTTGCTTCGTCTCTTTCTACCGAGTTTCAAATTAGAATTGAAAAAAAAACAAATTAAATATTTGCTGATCATTTTCAACCCGTGCCGATTTGATTTTAGATGAAAGGATTTAATTTCTGAACGAAAAATTTTAACAATTCCTTATCGTAACTATTATCACGGAATATTATTTCCCACTTTCATTCGAAAATTAATAATTTTTTTATGATTTGTTTTCAGAAATATAAAATAAAACTGTAGAAAATGATTAAGTTGTTCTATTGTTGATGTTTGTTATTTCTTTGTGGAATAAATCATTGATAATGTCGAGATTTGCTTCAGATCTTTTTTTTGCAAAATAAAAATTCCTTTATTGTGTTTGTCTCATATTGACAAGAATTTTTATCAAGAAAGATCAAATGTGTATCGACTTTGATAAGAGATTTTCAACTATTCATTAATTCTTATCCTATAGGCAAGAAAAAGCAATCCTATGATGAAGAGATAAAATTCAAATAACCAATTATTTTCTCCATTCACCATTATTAATTGATTAATAATCGATTATTCAAACAACTGTAGAATTGTAAATGTTAATCGCATTGATGGTTCTCTTTCGAAGATCAACAATTGGATTCAAATGTGGGTGGATGTGGGTTTGGCTATTTCTCTTTCCGATTTACACTCATACCCACACTCTCGTTTTGGTCTCATAATTGATCTTTGTTCGAAAATTTTCTCGGCTGTTGTTCTTCTGATTGAAGACTACCGGATAAAATGCTGCACATTTAAATTTTTTTGTGTATTGAACATCAAATAAATGATTGTTTTCACAGAGGAATATAGATTATGTCTTATCATTACCTATATCGTTGTGTTGCAGCGACACCCTTACATAATGTTTTCAATTTCAGCGAATCAGTTGTCGTAGAATTCTACTTCCGAGAGGCAACCATTTTTGGTATTTGTTGCATTCAAAACGAGCAATCCTTTTTTTCTTTTTTCTTCTGCTTCGTTTTGCTTTGCAAGTAAAAAATGTAGGATCCTTTTTTAATATTACTTTACCTTTTGTTTGCACAACATCGTCACTTCTCTCCACGTGTCTTTCGGATGAAGCAATAAAACAAAGATTTCATGGAATTGCGAGTAAGAAATTCATATGTAAGTGGAACTGAATCTGTTGAACATCCATATCTTCTGCTATAGAGATCAAGCATTTACTCAGACGTGAAATTAAGTTAAGATTCATTTTTTAAATCTTAATCTCGATGACGAATACTCAGCAGTCATCATTTCATTTTGTACCTTTAAATGTTAACGAATCAGTTTATGATTAATATTAAGTTCAAGGTTCTCTACTTAACACTTAATTGACATAAAGTTTAGTTTAAATGATTGCGTTAGGCAAATATAATTGAATTCAAAGTTTTTCTTTATTCCCGTACATCATTAGCATGACGTTATCTAATTCATTTAGGAGTGAACCTCCCTGCTAACCATTTGATCATACAAAACAACAACATAATATTCGCTCAAGGTAGTCATCTAAACTTAATTTAGAGTGAATTAAGAGATTAGTAGAAAAGCTTATTCACATATATTAATATTTTAAAGATGAGAACAATATTTTTCTTGAATCTAGACCACTTGCCCGCAGAACGTATGCTCGCCGGACAGATGCCCGCAAGACACTTGCTCGTATGATGCTTGCGCGCGCCCTCACCCTCAACATTGTCCATTACGGGCACGTATCACACAGGCAAGTGTCTCGCGGGCATCTGTCCGGCGGGCAACTGTCTAGCAGGCAAGTGGCCGTAACCCATTTTTCTTCCTGTCGTCATCTATTTCATAATAGTTGATCCTTGAGTATGAAAAGGTTTTTTCCGATGAAAACATGAGCAATGAAAACCTATTGGTTGTTGTCAGTTTTGTTTTGGGTTTTCATAATCTCTATGAGATTTGTTTAATTTTCATGATAGAAATAAAAGGATATTTGAAAAATAAGAGTAATATCTCTTTGTCTATTCACTTATAACTTTTCATTTTTAATCGAAGGAAACAAGATGAAAATATAAACTAGATAACTAGATAGAAATTTCGAATATTTCACCCGGAAGTACTTTTGTTTTTCAATTTATACGTCTTAAATAGCATATCTACTCGTGGCATGGTCAAATCTAAAAAATTAATCTACGCCTCTCCAAATAGGTAGCCAAATCTTAATTTCATACCCATATACTAAATTCTTACATGAGATCACAATTGATGCAATTTGGGTCAGTGCTGGTTTCGTTAGAACAAAACAAATTAGCTCAAGTTTATTCGAATGAAATTCTGTATTTCTTCAAAACGAAACATTGATTGATTAACATTTCTACCACTTCTGTCGGGGTGATTTCTCATGAGTTATAATTCTAGATGGTTAGATGAAACAAAAATAATTACCTAGTTTGGTTATGCGCGAGAAAATACATCGAATATCGTGAAAATCCTTTCAGCAGTAGATTTCTACAGAGTTAATTTTGTGATTGTTCTCGAAATAAGTTTCCTAAGTTTTTCATCATTGTAGAAATACTTTATTTTCGAAAAAAGCAATTACATATTGTAATAACGCTTAAAAATTTTCCATTATGCCGTTTGTTTGATTATCTTCGTACATTTATTTACTGAAAACAAAATTGGTAGAATATAAACAAATAAACTGTCGATAGACAAGGATCGAAATTGGCTACTTTTTCTGCTTTTTTTCATTCGCAATTAAAACGAGAATAAATTGTTGCTAATTGTTAGTTAATTTTGGTAGAATTTGAATCCTCTACCATCATATATATATAATGCTGCCCTGTCTTGTATTAATGAGCTGTAACACATCACGGTAAGACAATAGATAAACAAACGAAATAAACGAAATTCTCAAGTGTTAGCTACGAGGAATTTTTTAAGAAAATTGTTTTGCTATCAAAGAGGATAAAATATATATCTTATTCAGAAAATTTTCACATATTTTCGATTCTTGTCTCATGAGTGGTATTTTATGAATTATTTAAATCGCGATTAAAAATATTTTATTCGCTGAACTATCGAAATAAACTTCTTTATTTCAAAAGATTTAATTCATTGTCCGAAAGAATTTATGAGATATTTGTGGTAATCAAACTTGAACAAAACAAATGTAATTGGTAAGTAGTAAACATAGAAGCCCATTTAAGATTGACATAATCTTGTTTTTCTACCTTTATAAAGCAATTCATATTATTTGTTCATAAATATTCATATGAATTCATTTTAGATCGAGATGCTTTCATAATAAAAAACATAATTCAATTGATTTTCTTCTAAAAGAAATGGCAACAGGAAATAAATCAAATTTATGTGCAGTCTGCAATAAATTGCCAGGACTCCGCTTTTGCATTGGATGTAGTAAATACTTTTGCCCGAAGGATTTAAGAGAACATGAAAAACAATTAGCGATGAAATTCGATAACGAAGTAGTTAGATCTCATGATGAACTCCTTGACCAAATACAAAAATTAGAAAAATCAAATTATTTATCATTGGATCTTTTCGCTCAAATTGAACAATGGAAAAAGACAACAATCAACAAAGTTGAAAGAGCAGCAGAAAAGGCACATCATGAACTTACCGAGCTAATCGATAAAAAACGAGCAACAATAACAAAACAACTTCAATTTATTACAAAAGAAATTCGTTCACGCCAAGAAGAAGAAATTTTTGTTGAAAATGATATAGATCAACTTAAACAAGAAATTGAAAAAATTAAACAAAAACTTGAAATACTCATTCAAAAAGATAAAAATCAAAGCATCATTGTTGAAAATAGTCAAATTGATTGGAATCGACTTATCTACGTTCGAGAAATCCAAGATGAACATGAAATCCAAGGAAAACAAAGAAACTGTGAGTATTTTCAACCTAAGTTCTGAAAGAAAAGAACGGTGAGATGAGGGTAACTATCGATATAGACATGAGTGTGGTAGTAGATGTGCATTTCAGCATCGGTGTATGGCAACCCATATCCACGCACACACTATTCAGTTCAACTAAACTTCTGAAAAGAAGAATACTGCGCTTTTCGGCTATCTCGTGGTATAGGACACTGTCCGAGAATAGTTTCGAGAGTCACATATTTTTGCTACATCTATTATTAAATGTAGCGCTGAACGAAAAGCTCTCCATACATACTGACTAACCAAATACTAGCCACAAAGACTTTTAGTGTATGTCAATCACGTATTCAGTTTGTTATCGAATAGGTGATCCAAGAAAAAGCAACCGTTAGTAACTTATCCAAGGTCAATTTATGATTGAGAGAGCTAAAGTTCGAACATAGTACTTGTTGGTATGTGTTAAACATCTTAATCATTCAGCCATACCAGCAAGTCTTCGAAAGATGTCTATATTAGAACATAAGAAGCAATTCAAAGATCTAAGATTTCGTTTTCCCTATAATTTATGCTCATGATAAGAAATAGTAGTTCAAAACAAATAAGAAGCAAGATTTTCATTCATTGAATTCACTATTTTCAATTCCATATAATTTTCCATTGAGGTATATTCTCCTATAATGGATGTGCAAAAAATTCTATGAACTGGATATCATTCAATCAAATTAAACAAACACGCAAAAAAAATAATCTGTGGCCACTTTTTATATTTCTCTTGCGAGAACATCTACAGTCTCACTCCAGCCTTTTATCATTTACTAACCTTTTAACATTCAAAAAAATATGAATTACAAAAGGCAATCTCATGTTCAATATATCTTTATCTCTCAGATGCATAAATAGATCTCATGATAATTAAGATAATGCTGATGTAATAAATTTCAAATCAAAATATTAATTTAAACCAGAATTTTCAACAGTTTCTATCTTTATATTATAGAACGAAAAATAGAATAAACAGAGAAGATAATAAGTGTTACAACAGTTGAAAATAGAAAAATCATTTTTTTTTATTTTATTTGAAACTAATATTCATTTGAGAAAGAAAAAGACTTCAAATCTTCGTATTATTTAGTTTCTTGAACATTTATTTGTAAAATTTTGAAAAGAAATTAAAATAATTGATTCAATTATTTATGTATGATCAT